AATTTATTTATTCATGAGAGACAGAGAGTGAGAGAGGGGCAGAGGGAGAAGCAGGCTCCCAAGGAGCAGGGAGCCCGATGCGGGACTCGATCCCAGGACCTGAGATCATGACCTGAGCCGAAGGCAGTCGCTTAACCAACTGAGCCAGCCAGGTGCCCGGTCCTCAATAACTTTAAAGAAAGTCAAAGAATCCTAAGACCAAAACATATGAGAACCATTACCTAAATCATGGTTCAATTTCTGTACTTCACCTTTAGCACTCATCTCCTATAGCTAGGCAATGCATATTAGAATTGCTTTAAAAGTTTCAATCATTTTCCTAAATCTATACAAAGTTATAACAACATCCCAGGTCTCTATCATCTCTACAATCTATTTTTCCAGCCTCAATTCCCCTTATTTCTCCTTATAGTTATCATACATTTTAATCCACTCAAGAATTTCCTGCCTCTTGGAATCCCCTTTCTGTTTCCCAATCCTCCCCTATCTGCATAAATTCCATGATGCCATTTACATGGTCACCCCATATCTATGCCTTATACAACTTCCTTAGCACACCTGACCTATAATCCCATTCCGCTGTCAATTCATTTTTCCTATGTAGCCATTTGTATTCAAATATCTTCTATCCTACTCACTTTTTCCCATTGTCTCCCTCTTTAGCATATGTATCCATTCCATCTTACCACTTTCAGTCCCAAATGGAATCTATCATTGACCAATTAACTTGTTCTTTATCTACTCATGAAGTAGGGTTTAAACATATCTCCCAATTTCCCTAAAAAGCTAAATGTTTATATTTCACCATCTTACATTTCCAACCCATTCACTTGCCTATTTACCCAAATGAATTAAGAATATTCAGAAAAAATATATGAATGGGACCTAGAGCAACACCATATACCAAACAGTATGTAATAATGTAAAATTCCACCTATCCACAATGACTGAAAAGGTACATTTTAGTTAACATAAAATATTAAGATTGACATACATACAAGCTAATAAGGAATTATAATGCTATGAAATAGCATTTTTTAATAACAGGTTTTATAACACAAAAACTATACTGAGTTTCACTTAACACTTCTTTCATGATTCAGAAGGCAAAGGCATGTCAGATCTTGCAGTAACATCAGGATAGAGAATTAAAACATCTTCAAGGGCACACTGTCTTATACTTCTTTTTATATGCCATAATGCAACTGGCAGAGACTTGGGCCCATAAGAGAGTCATAAATACTTGCTGAATTTCATATCATCATTTTGTCAAGTAACCTCTTAAGAGTGAAATGCACAATATATCCCCCAAAACAACAGAAGGAAATCCAGTTTTGTTTAAACTTTCACTGACTTCAATTCTAGGTGAAAAGAGAATTACTATATATGCTTTTTGATGATGAACCATGAAGAGCCATGATCGTGGATTTCAATGCTATGGCCTGTGATATCAGATAGGCAAGGGTGAGAAAATCCAATGGCAGCAAGGAGAAAATATACCAAAGTATACAAATAGAATATAAAGTAACTGAATCATGCTACTGTGTACCAAACCAATTGCTTTACAGAACAAAGTTTTGAAAATAAAAGCCAACGTTAAAATTTTCAACAGAGAACTAGCAATCATAAAAAGTGACATAGTGGACCTGAAAAAATAGCCACATACAAATTACAGGACCAAAAAATAAAATAACACAAATTAAGGATTCACCAATGGACCAGTTTAATATAACATATCAGATAAAGCTAAGGAGAGCATCAGCAAAGGGGAAACTACTCAGAATAAAACACAAGAAACAGGAGAATGAAAAATACAGAAGAGAAGAGAAAAGATATAAAGTTTATAGTAAGAAAGTATATTTTGCATTTAATTGGAGTCCCAGATTTAGAGGTGAGAAAGGATAAAGGCCATATTTGAAGAGATAAGATTTTCCTCTTAACTGATGAATTATCATTTTATGTATTTAACAAACTCAGTGAATTCCAAAGCAAACTAAGTAAAAAGAAATCCAAATCTCGATACAAAGTAGGTATAAAAAAAAAACCACAAACAGAAAATTCTGTGAGTACCCAGTGAAAAAAATACAAGTTACATCCAAAGAAGCAACAGTTAGAAACAGGTTTCTCTATAGCAATGCACAAAAATAGTAAGTCCTGACTAAACTGTGTTTATTACAACAAAGCAAGGTTGGTTTAACATTTGAGAAATCAATATAATTTACCACCCTAACAGAATAAAAGAGAAAAATCATATGATTATTTCAAGAGAATCATAACACTTTTTCATGATAAAAACAAAACAAAACCTCTTACAAACTAGAAGGAACAGAAGAGCTAATGAAGTTTATCTCCCAAAACCTACAGTAATCACCTTAATAATGAAAGGTCTCCTTTACAAAGAGGAATCAGAGGTTGCCTATTACATTATTTCCATTATCCTGGTACTGTTAGCTAGTTCAATAAGGCATAGACGATGTCAAAGGTATACTGATTAGAATGGAAGAAACAAAAACCATCAACATGTGATATGATTTTGTACATAAAAAATGCAAAAATTAAGATCCTTACAAGATCTTAATTCTGTCTTTCCATATATACATCCCTATATTAGCCATGTCTTTTATAATAGCAACAAAAAATTAAGTGCCTAGAAATAAATCTAGAAATTTCTAAGTGCTCAGAAATAAAAGATAAGGAGAACTTCTAAATAGAAGACAATTATTGAGAGAAGTCAAAACAAAAATAAATGGAGAAATATGCCACATTCATGGATTAAAAGACTCAATATCATAAAGATGTCAATTATCCCCAAATTTATCAGACTCAATATAAGCCCAATCAAAATCCAACAGGTCTGTGTGTGTACAAGGGATAGCTGGAGGCAATCTCACAAGCTAACTCCAAAATTTATATGGAATGCCAAAATCCAGGAATAGCTAAAATATAAAGCCTTGGAAAGACAGAATGGTTTTAGAGCAAGGATAAATAGAACAACAGAATGAAATAGCAGGCTAAGAAACAGATCCACACATATATGGTCAGTGATTTCTGACAAGGTAGCAGAACAACATGAGAAAAGATGATCTTTTCAGTGGATATTACTGGGACAACTGGATATCCACATGGAAAGAAAGAAAACTGAACTCCTACTATACTGTACATGATACACACAAATCAAATCTGATAGGGGAAAAACAATGAAGGTTTTAGAAGATAATATGGGAAAATATCCTAACTCAGAACATAAACTGACTACACTAAAATTTAAGCTGTGAAAAGAAAAATCCACAGAAGGGAAAAGATATTTGCAACACATTTAACAAATAAGTGGCTCATATATGGAAATAGAGAGACAATATATGTAATTTCAACAACAGATCAAAGAAAAAGATAATGCAGAACAAAAATGAGCAAGAGACATGAACAGGCACTTTATAAAAGAGGAAACACATATGGCCAATAAACTTCTGAAAAGATTCTAACCTCACTGTTTTAGGGAAACACAAATTAAAAACGCAGTAAGATTAACACTTCACATCTGTAAGAATAGCTAAAATTAAAAAGACCGAAAATACCAAGTATCAAGGAAAGGCTAGGATGTGAAACAATATAGCTATAGAGGAGTTCGGCTACTTGGAAAACAATTTGATGTTACCTGCCAAAGTTGAAAATACAATTATTCTATGGCTCATAAATTCTATTCCTGTGTATTTCTCCTACAAAAATGCATGAACATGTACACTAGAAGACACAGATCGATTCAATTATTATTATAATGCTCCCAAACTGAAAATAATCCACATATTCGACATTAAAATGGGTAAGTTATAGTATACGCATTCAATGGAATATTACATAGCAATGAAAACCCACAAGTCACAGTTGTATGCATTAATATGAATGGATGTCCCAAACATCATGTTGACTAAGGGAAGCCAGACAAAACAAATCCTATAATGTGTATTATTTTGTAAGTCAGTTTAAAAGAAAAAAGTGATATTGTAGATGACCTGAGGTGCTGTCACACTAACGGGGCACCTGGAAAGGGAAGACTTTGGAGCAGAACCAGTGATGTTCCATTTCTTGGCCTGAGTAGTGCTTACACAGGTTTATATCCATTTATCAAGCTGTTCTCTTATGTTTTATGTACTTTTCTGTATATCTGTTCTATTTCATATCAAAATGGTTTAAGGAAATTAAACTAAATAGCTTACCCCGAGACTAGCATCTGCCCATTATGAGAAAAAGCACAAGCCAGAACAGGAGCACAGTGCCCATTCAGTGTACTTTTATATCTTAATTCAAAACCTGCAAATAACAAGGCAAGAAAAATTAGCAAGCTGACTGTACTTAGAATTTATATTTTTAAGTCAAAACTATTTCATTCATTTATTTTAATAAATTATCTTTAAGTGCCTAAAGAATACAAAAATGAGAAAAATCTTCATGCAACTCAGGTATCAGAATGCAGTGTGATTAAGTGGTTTCAAATGTTCAGTAATGGCTAAAGAAAATGGTGCACTCAACAAAGGTGGGGGGATTATAATGATCAAGTACTTTTAAAATTTTAAATTTTAAACTCTATAAAAGACATAAAAATATAACATTTTAAACTAATCTAAAATTTTAAACCATTAAGACAATCTTGGCATCTAATTTTTAAAAATACAGAATACATACTAGGTGCCTTGCTGGCTCCGTCAGTGGAGCATGTGACTCTTTATGTCAGGGGCAAAGTTTGAGCCCCACTCTGGGTGTGGAGCCCACTTATAAATAAAATTAAATATGTAATGTGTGTATATACACATTGGTGCCCCCAAAAGATCACTTTTTAAAATCTGATATCAAGAAAATATTTTCTCAGGGGTGTCTGGGTGGCTCAGTCATTAAGCATTTGCCTTTGGCTCAGGTCATGATCCCCGGGTCCTGGGATCAAGCCCTGCATCGGGCTCCTGCTCGGCGGGAAGACTGCTTCCCCCTCTCCTGCTCCCCCTGCTTGTGTTCCCTCTCTTGCTGTGTCTCTCTCTGTCAAATAAATAAAACCTTTAAAAAAGAAAATATTTTCTCATTCTGTAAATTAAAAATAGTAATTTATACATCTTACAATTCCAATTATATCTTCTAATACTCCTACAAAGTATAACACTAATATCCTTTTTATACTTTCTGTAATTACTGAAAAGTATCACAGCTATCTTAAAGCTAAATCGATGGAATTCAATATATTTTAGTGACAACCTACAAAAATGACTATTAAGAAGTTGACCTGAGGAGATAAGGAAGTGAAATCTATTAATTTTCTCAGAATAAAAACTTTTTTGAAGCGTTAATGGCTCTTAAGACAACAGCATTTAATTAAACAAAAAGGTCATTAGAGCAGGTAAAAGTTTTAACAAATAGAAAAGAACATATTATTATTACTAAATATACATTTTATTTCTATTCAAAACAGAAAAAAAAAAAAAACATGTATTTTTTATCTGGGAGAGGAGATGTGGTCACTGAATGCACCATGGAACATACAGATCAGGAACTGGCACAATCAATCAAACATAGCAAAAATGTTAACAAGTTGTAAACCACATGAAGCCCAGTAAGACTTGCAGTATCACCATAGGCTATATTCTCAAGTATAAGATCCATAAGTCTACTAACAAATAAACAATTAAAAAAATTAGGTGCAAATGATGATAAACACTTTATAAAAAGGCTTTGATGGTGCAGGTTTATAAACTGTTATGTTTTTCAAAAGAGTCACTGTAAAAACACATTTTCCAGGCAATGCATGACACGTTTTACTTTTGAACAACTATTAAAGACATATTTAGAACATCCAATATATGACTATATTCATGGATTCTCATAAGAATTTTACTTTGGCAAGAGTAAAAGACAGGATAGACCAGCGTTCGCTGGTATGTCATTGAACACATTAAAAGAGTGACTAAATATAACCTAATAGGCAATAAATTAACTGAATTTCCACAAAGAGAAATATTTATTTCCTGATAATGGGCCCTTCTCTATACACTGGTATAATGACAAAGATTTTCTCTTTGCTCAAACTCTAGCCAGGCTCTTTTGAGTCCTCTTCTCACTAAGGCCCTGACCTTGGCCTATAAAGACTTACACTAACATAGTTTCTGACAGCTCAAGGCTGCATGCCTAGGATAACCTTAGTCCCCTTCAAATACCTGCCTGAGAAAACTCAAGGCTGCCAATAGAATTTACTGTTCGTTCCACCAACACATGATGATAGAGAGGACCCCTGTCTTCCACTCTGTTGGGGGGGTAGGAGCCTAATCTCCCTAAGTGCCAATTAGCAAACCCAGATGAGTTTCACAGGACCCCCATCCTTCCTGTCACTGACCTCCCTCCTTATTCCCTCATTCTGCCTTCAAAATGCCCAGTCACCTCTGTATAAACTGAAGCTGAGGAAAGTTCACATTGGACTCTACTCCCTACTGCAATAGTACACTACTGGGTAAAATCTATCCTTGTATTTTAGTGTCCAGCTTTGTTCATCTTTGACAATAATTGTCAAGAACAAAATGCAGTTTGCAATTTAACTGAAGCTTATCAGGTGACAATAAAGTAAGAATATTTTTAGGCATTTGAAGTAAGATGGCCAATTGACCATATAATTTCAGAGTTCCCATTAAAATCACAGCAAAAGAATTAATAAAGATATAAAAGCACATCAATGAAGAGAATGGAAAGAGAGGCGTCAGCAATCCAGAAACTGAAGCCAGTTTGGGGAAGGCAGAAAGCACATTAACTGACGAAGTAGCATAGAGGAGTAACAGCCCAGGGCACAAAGGGAGGGGCGACGGCCAAGAAGAAAGTTAATCTGCCCTAGAATACCCCAAAAGACTTAGGACTATCACCAGCTAGGGAAAAGGAAAATCAGAATAACACAGATATCAACCTGAAGACAAAGAAGTGAGCAAAAAAGTCTGTTGATGAAACACTCGGGGTCCACCTCCAATCCCTCCCTCATCCCACCCACACATAGCATGTTGCACAAAAGCCAGATGCTTCTCTACAGGCAAAACATTTCTAGGGAAAATAACAGCTTTCTGGGGACCTCCTTGGCAGCTCCAGGGCAATTCTCTAAGCCCCTAAACCTCTCCAGTAAGGGCCAACAATCCACTTCCTCATCCTAAAGGAAAGCCAGCAACAACAAACCACTATGTGAACAGAGCTTCTAAATATCTTGTTATTGCCTAATTCTTAAATGTCAGTGGAATAAATACAAGGATCACCAGACATCTGAAGCAGGTAACCATATGAAAGAGAAAGATCAGAGTAAACAAAAAAGACTCAAGAGCAAACAAAGATAATCAGGAAACAAGAGGGAACAACAAAACAAAAAGCCTCTAACCCATATCCTGAGTTTTGAGATCATCTTGCATTCATAAAACAAAAGGAGGACACTGAAAAAAAGAAACCGTGAAAAAGATGAACTTACAGAAATTGAAAATATGATGGAATAAAAAATACAAAAGGTTAAAAGATAAAGTTAAGGAATGTTTCTATTAAGTATGAAGAAAAATAAAGAGAGAAATGTGGTGGTGGTGGGGCGACATATGGAAAGAAATAAGGAGTTCCAACACTCAATTAATGAGTTATTAAAAAGAGAGGAAATGGGGAAGAAATTATTAAAGAAATAACTTAAAGGAATACTGTTTTCCGAAACCGAACAATGTAAGTTTCTTGAGTGAAGGATCACCTGAAGGAATAGTGCATTATACAGAGGAAAGACCTCCCATGCACTGTCAAAACACAGTCACTACAGTGAAAAAAATCTAAAATATGGTGGTAAAACAGTATTTATACAAATGGAAAACCACCAAGAGTTGCAAACAGATAAAGTGCAAAGTGGTTACCTCTGGTCAGCAGGAATGTGGGTGGTGGTGGTGTTGAGGTCATGATCAGCTGTGAGCATCCAATTTTTAAATCATGTATATGTATGTAATTACTCTGATTAAAATTTATTAACACATACTTTTATAATCAGTTAGATATCCAGAGTTCCTTAAGTAAAAGATTAATTAAAACAGAAATTCCATCTGAATTGCAAATACTTTTAGAGAACTACTGGTTGAATACATACATACCTAAGATATGGGTAAAAGAAACCACCCAAATTTTGATCTGGCAGTCCTGACCACATGATGCCAATCGGAAAAAATGAAGACCTTGCTCTCCATCTAAAAATGTAAATTTGTTAAAAATAAATACACAAGAATTGATAAAACATTTAAACCAAAACATTTTCAACTTCACATATTGAGATCTGTTAATTCTATCTATTCATTTAAACCATATTCAAAAGCAGTATTAACTAAACGTAAACCACAGAATGAAATGCTGATTAAAGAATGTATTTTAAACAAGGTGCATCAAAGGATTATAACCCTGGCCACTGAAGTTACTACAACAAAATACCTTTTTATTTACCTTCCACTAAGAATATAAACTCAAGGCTCTATGGGCGGAAATTGACTCACTAAGCCTGGGGCATCCTCCAACCCAATTTTAGAGTCCATAAGGCTAGCACTGATGGGAAAAATTGGGGAGAAAAGTTATGAGTGTTAAATGTTTAATTATTCCCAACTAAACATTTTTTTTTTAAAAGGACATACCCACTTCTTAAAAGCTTAGTCTAATGGCGTAAATCGACAGGAAGAGGGCATGGAAGGTCTGCATTCAGGACCCTTCCAGATCTCACCCTATATGTATCCTTTATAATAAAGTTGTAATTGTAAGTATAGCAAAAAAAAAAAAAAAGCTTAGTCTATAATTCACATGGAATAATAATGAGAGATTTTTTTCCCCCCGTTTGATTTAATCAAGACAAAGGCTGGAATTATATAAATCCAAAATAACATTAATTCAGTCTGTTTTATTTGGTAGAAATTATACAAGTCAGGGAAAGTAATCAGTAAATTTGGTGTCACAAAAAATCCACTGGTTTTTAATGCTGAGAAAATTTCAGTGTATAATTATATATACACTAGATAAGTTCCTAAATATTTGTGGCTAATGTAAATATTGATATCCTCAAGTCAATTTTACATGAGTTCCACCTAACATCATAGATGCAGTTTCATCAAAGGACGTTTTGGCACTGATACATACTAAGATACAATTATGTGCCTAAGAGCAGGGGAGGCTCATCTGAAGTGATTTTTTTACCTGAAATCTAAAGGATAACTAACAGTGAACCAGGTGAAGGGTCCACATGTAAAACCCTTGGAAAAATCTTAGAAACATTCAAGGAACAAAAGGAGGCCAGTGTTGCAAGAGAATGTCTGAGGCCAAGTGTGTGTTGAGAGGAGGCAAACAGAATGTGTCTGGTACTTATAGGCTTTGTGTTTTGGATTTGCTATTTTATACCTTACCTTAATCTTATTTTAATCAGCCACTGATGGGTTTGAAATAGGGGAGTGCCAAAACCATCCTGCCCACCTTCTGGACCTGAGCTGTCCAATAAGGTAATCACTAGCCACCTGTGGCTACTGGACACTTGAAATGTGGCTAGAACAAATTTAAACGTGACATAATATACACACCAGATTTCAGAAACCTAGTACCAAAAAAATAGTAAAATATCTTAAGTGTTACTATCAATTATTGAAATATTTTATATATGAATAAAATAAATTAATTTTACCTACGACTAAAAAGTCTTGTATCTACAATGTAGCTCACGTTATATTGCTAATAGGACAAGCACGGTGGTGTAACAGGACTTGAGGCAGCGAAAGCAGAACTTCCACCCTTACAGAGGATGAAATAGAAGAGAGCTTCCCAATTCACTGCTATCTATTTAAAACCAAGAGTCTGTCTATACTCAGGAGTTTGTATTTCTGACTGTGTTGTCAAACATCTTAGTTTACAAATTTAGCTTTTGGAAGATTAAATCAGTAAACTGAAATTTTAGCTTCTGTTTCCAATTTTTTTTAATTTCACATTTCTCTTTGAAGATCAATATACTGTATTCTAAAATCCACAGCACAACCAATAGGGTTAGGTGCTCTAAGTTACCATATTCAAGGAATCCAGATCTACTATACAAAGTTGAATCATCCCCAACACATATTAAAGAACATAATTTTCCCTTATATTTCTTCATGATTTCATTTTGGTCAAGATAAAGGACAAGAATGATTCCTTAAAAGGAATGAATTTAAAGGGCTTCTCATTTATTAAAGATGAAATGAAAATGAATAAAAGAATTAAAAGTCATACACAAATTACAAATAGGAATTACTAGAGCTTAAGAGATTAAAATAACTAACCAGAAACTGGCTGTGAAGAAAAATCACAGCAGGTAATTCCAAGATCATGTGCTTTTTCACTATGTAGACACCTCATTTTATCATCCCACACTGTTAAATCTCCACATGAAGAGCCAGTGACAAAGAGGTTTCCAGTTGGAGAAAATGCACAGGCCACCAAGGAGCCGTCCTTAACGCTACCGCATCTGAAATAAAAGCAAAACAAGGGCAGGGAAGGGGCTTCATTTCATTTCAGAGGATCTTTTACTTTATATTACAATTTCTAACAGCAGCTTGCTAGAGTAAAAACAGGAAAAATGGCTATCAGAGAACTAGAACGGGCAATAGATGTCTATAAAAATATCATATGCTATAAACTGAGATATGCTTTTCCAAAAAAGGGGTTTAAACATTATCTTAAGTAATATATTCAAGCCTAAGCTATACAGATCCAAACCAAAGTCCATGTATCTTCATGTTTTTCCGTATGGCAAGTCTGTATGAACACATTAAAATCTACAAAACTTAACAAAAAAAGCTCTGACAACCAAAATATCAACTATAGTCACACATTTTTTAAAAACCTATTTTTTTTTTTTTTAAAAAGACACATTTATTCAGCATCATGATCAGACTATTACATTTAGCAATCAACAGCATGGGTGCAAAAAAAAAAAAAAATCTACATTAAAACCCTTTGTTGGAATGCTTTACACTTTCCACAGAACAGAAACTAAAATAACCTGTTATACAATTAGTCACAAATACAGTCCTCGAGTTTTTTGCCCATACAC